CAAAAAATCTTTATCAGTGCATCCCTACTTTTTGAGCATGCCCTCTTGCTGATCCATTGGACTGTATCTATGGTAACTATCAAAGATGCTGAAATTGAGGTCTTGCACTAATAGCAGCTTTTAAAAGATGTCTTGTAGATTGAAGTCTTAACTTAAGTGATGGAGTGTTTAAGTTTATGATTACATGTGATATAAAGTAACACTTATAAGATCATTGTGTTCATGTTTAGCCAAAATAATGTGAGGATATAAATACTCTGAAGAAGAAATAGTGTTAACTAAATACTCAAATGTTGTAGCTGTCATGAGCAGCATTAGCCTGTTTTTCATTAGATCCTCACACCTACTTTCATTGTCTTTACTGCTGTTCAGAGATTTTCCAGTTTGAGTGAGGTCTGATGATACTGTTGTCTGTTCTTTGCTGCTATTCAGAAACTTACCGGTAACAGTAAACATGTCACGAATTGACTCAGTTAATTGAACTGTTGACTGAGAAAGAAGACTCCAACCTAGAGATTAAGTCAGTGGGTCTCAACCTTTTTAGACTCATGGTCCCCTCTTAGCTTTGACTTGTTCTTGACTATAGAAAAATAATAAGTAAGTCATCTGTTGCAAAGAACTCAAAAGGACCAAACGGGTCAGAATGTTTTTGACACTAGGGATTCCTATTTGAAATCTCTGGGTTCACCATGTGTATCATATTTGCATGCCTAATATTGCTAACATTGTGTGGCACTGCATCACCCTTGACAGGATCTTAAGGTGTCTTGGGATGCACAATCCCTTTGCAACATCCTGGTTGAGAATCACTTGTCTAGGCACTATGGAGAGCAGGGCTGCTGAATTGGCAGCCCGTGAGGGATTAAGTTGTGGCCTCAGGTCTCCTGCCTGCCTGCCATTCCCCACATTGTTCTGGCTACAATATCAGCTGGAGTCTCCAGGTTCCCCTTCCACTTACAACTGCTGCATCCTGCTTCCACCCCAGAGAGCAGGACAATGCGCTGTGCTGCATGGGGAGCTGAGGGTGAGTCTGAGGTTGCACAGTGGTGGGGATTGCACCTGCATGGTGCAGCTGTGGTGGGGAAGGGGGGAGTACCATTGTGGGGGTGGGACATGGGGGGAGCATCTACACAGCACAGCTCCTGGAGGGTGTAGCCACCAAGGACTTAGAAGTTGGACAGCCCTGATGTGAAGAGTATTGGAGACTTTTCTTTACCAACCTCAACAACTAGGAAGCTTAGAAGTGATTGTAAGAGAGAGATGAGAATGCTTCCTTTCTTCTGGTATTGTCTGTAGTCCTCCTAGCTGAAGGATACAAAAGATGGAGTGCCAGATTTTATAAGATATTAAGGAACATAGGTACCTTTTAAATATCTGACGTGGAGTACCCAAGCAGGATGAATGGAATCGCCCTGGCAGAAATTGCAGTAGCTGCTCTTTCCCAGTATTTAAGGGGTGAAAAAATAGTGTGTGTGTGGCATGGTTTCTTACCTGGGTCTTGTCTCTGAACATAAATACACTGCCCTTCCCAGGACTGCATAGCTAGAGGCATGGCTTTTTGGAGGAAAAGGTATATTTTATTAGCAAAGATATTTATTTCTGGTTCGTGGGGATTCTCCTGGGAATAACAGGGGACAGATATCTTTTTAAGCCTAACATGCTTTTTTCCTATTTTGGAATTTTACAAGAGGGATGATGCACAAAAATAACTGAATAAGCAGACTATAGTAGATCAGCTCTTGTATGTGTTAATCAGTAAATACATATTTCTGTTTTGGCTGCAGATACTGATACCACAGTAGCCTCATTCTTCTACCTGGAGTCAACATGTCAAAGAAATCTGAAGCTTCGCTTTCCTTGACTGACTGTCTCTGCCAAATTTGCATGGAAATTTTTGTGGAACCAGTGACCCTACCATGCAACCACACTCTCTGTAACTCCTGTTTCCAATTGACAGTAGAAAAAGCAAGCCTGTGTTGCCCTTTCTGCCGCCGACGGGTCTCTTCCTGGGCACGATACAATGCTCGCAGAAATACTCTTATCAATTGGGAGCTGTGGGAAAAGATTCAAAAGAATTACCCAGAGGAATGTAAGCACAGAGTTAATGGGCAAGATCTGGTAGAAGAACGTAAGTAAAAACGACATTGTCTTAGACCTGTCTGTGCTCTAGCAAAGTTGTTGGCTCTCCTGGGCTTGGATGTCATGACATGAGACAACCACAGCATTTCACTGCTGTAGCTGTATTACTGGGAAATAAGTCTCAAAACCAGTTTGTTTTAGTGAAAAATAAACCACAAAAGAAGGAAATGTGACTCTCAAGCCTTGTTTACACAGCTTTCCTCATTGTTACACTTTGCCTGTGGGCACTTCTGATTTTAGGCCCTGTGGAGGCAAACTGGTGAGAAATGCAGGCAGAGCAAAAGAATTTCTTAATCTCAGTTATTTTATTACTAAAGCACTTGAGCGTTACTGATCTTGAAACTAACAAGCCTTAAAATGTGCTTTCCCAAGTCTGAGCTTAACGCTTCTTGTGAATCCATACTTTATCATTTTTTCAAGGTAGGTAGCACCCCTACTGTCTCCTTTTTCCTGCAAGTCTTTCTAAATGCAGTGGTTATTAGCCCCTTGCACAGAATAGAACTCTGCTGTGACATAGGGCCCCTCAGTTTGCATAAGAGCAATTTAGGGTCAATGGGAATGATTCAACTACTGACTCATGCCTATGGAACAATGGCATTGATCCTAAATTGCTCTTATGATTAGTGATAATCCTTCAACATGCTGTCGAGTACCTTTCCTGGAAGGGGCACCTATCTGGAATACAGTACGGGTTGTCTTTTGAGGCAAGTTGGGATTCAATATTTTAAATCTAATTCAACAGAGTTTAACAAACTTCATAATTGGATGCTGTCATGGCTTGATCTAATTGGTGTGTTTTCTCTGAGATGACAGATTTGAAATTCTTTTGATCTAATAGGGTATCCGTGACGCTATTTGAATTGACGCCTTACATAGGTTAAAGGGCCTGTTTTCTTAGCTTATTTGAAAAGGCAATTATTTGCTTGGTTGTGCATGAACATATAATTTTATCACTGTATGACCTGAATGTGCACTTTGATTTGTGAGGCACACTCCTTGAACTACTTCCTTGAGATATTGTGATATGGTTAAAGGGAAAAATAAAGGCTTTCCATTCCAGAGGAGTAAGTATTCTGAGGAATGGTTCATTTTGCAAAGGAGAGCAACAATACATTCCATCAGACAGATAAAATAGTCTCATGCTGCAGATTTGCTGTGCTACTAAGACTTATGCATCAGTATTTAGGACATGACAACATGTCTAATGATATCTTAGAAGGTTTAAGCAGGTAATCAGGGCAATAGAGCAGTATTCTTCACCCAGAAGGGAAGGGGAATCCTTAATTCTGTTTCTTGGAAAATAGTCATTCTAAAGGAATCTCATTAGAACATCGACCACTGTCAGAGTTTGAACTGTGTTGTGGTATTGGCTTTTCATCTTTAAATAAATACTGCTTCCAATTAGTTGGAAAAGAAATTGACCTTTGAGAACACCAGTGAGTTGCACCATTTAACAAATGAGATTCCTATGACAGACTTTAAAGAAACAGAACAACATAAATTTTCTTTTTGAAAAGCCTTTCAGGCTTTCTTCTAGAGCAGAAAAGAAAAAAAGAAAGATTTCTTTTTGCCTTGTAGGTCAGCTTTAAGGTCTTGCACATCTTGTTTTAATTCACTCCACATTAGTGTAATAAGAAACTATTTTTGTTATAATGGATGAGGGAAAATGGACATAATGGTTCATAGAGATGCTTTTGTTTCATACTTGTGAGTTGGAACATATTTCATGTCTGTTAAACAACACAGTTTGGCTAAGGGGCAGGAATGGATATGACTCTTCTGTATGTTCTCAGCTTAATATGAACCAGAATAATATAATTTTTATGTTCTATGGTAAGAAAAACATTTCTATAAAAGTCTGATGTTGAAAGTGATGGTTTTTCTTTTTCTCCCTACATTCTCCTTCTGTTTCTTTGAGTTAGTTTGTATATCGCAACCACTGCATCAGCTAAGCAAGCCTGGTGAGTTGAGAAAGGAATACGAGGCAGAGATTAGCAAGGTAAGTCTAGAAATTTAGCTGATGTAAGTATCTATTTATTCTAATCTTGTATGTAAAGGGTGACTAGTATTTGACGTGTGTAACTTACTTCTTACAGTTTAAGACAGGCTTAGTTCTTTGTTGAAAATTGGAAGAGAAATGAGCTTCAAGAATTATTTGAATTTGGAATAAAATATTTTAATTAGTGAGAGACCTGAAAAATTGAATTTCCTCCCTTATTGAATAAAAAAAAAATAGTGCTGGAAGGGACCATGAGAAGTCATCTAATCCAGCCTCCTACTCAGGGCAGGGTCAGCTCTATCTGGGATGATTTATACAAGAGAAAGCTAGGAAATGATTTTATTAAAATGTACAAGAATATGTGCAGGAAGAATGTATTTCATACTAATAAGAATATAAAACCAAGTAGCTGGAAGTAAACAGTAACAATTAAAAAATAAGAAGAGGGTTCAACCTTTTAACAATGAGGGTAGTTAATCACTGTAACAGTTTACCAAGGGATGTTACACATTCTCAGGTATGGGCATATGAACAAATCACTTCAGGGACAAAAGGGGCCAGGGATTTACTCTACCAGCTGTTCTGCAAAAAGTACCCAGATGCATGCTCTTCCTCATGGTAATTAGGGGAAAAATCTGCAGTAATTTACCCCTTTTTCTTTGAGAGCTGAACTATCACATTTTAACTTCTGCTATGCATTTAGGCAGTTACCCCAGAGTAGATGTTGGGCAGTAAGGCCCCACCACCCTTTTCTCACGTTGTTCGTATGTACACACACCCTCAGTGTCCAACTCTTTAAATCATGATAAGCTGTTTAGAAAGAGAAATGTTGTGGGATTTGATTGCAAAATGTTAGGCTCAGTATAGTTATTATTGGGTAAAGTTTTATGGTTTGTTATAGGGATACTGAGACCAGATGAGCATAATGGTTCAATCTGACCTGAGTGTTTGTGTACCTTTGTACACTGACCATTCAGACTAAGGATACAAATGTGATAGACCATCTAGGAGGTCTTAGACCTCCTATTACCCAGCATTATTCACTGCAGTCCAAGAAATGAGGTGTCATCCTCCTTAGATATGTGCACTTTCCCACCCATGCTGAGCTGTGGCTTCTGTAGGTCTTCACATACACATCTACTTCATGTCAGAAAACAGAAATTTGGAATTCCTGCTCTGTTCCTGTAACTTTCAAGTAAATTACATTCTTTTCATACTGATGGTTGAGAAGCCTGTCATAAATTAGCAAGTTTACACACACAGCTTTCTAAGTATCAAAAGTTCTATTTCAGGGGTTGGCAGCCTTTTGGTGGTATAGCCTCTGACATCCCTTACCCCATTTACCAGCTACATGCACTCACCCTTGCTGCAGATTCCAGTTCCTTCTGCAGTGAGTGCAGGTGCAGGCAGCAGAGGGAAGCACTGTGGGAAGGATGGGTGGCACAGCACAGGTCTGTATCACTGATTCCCCTGTGATTGATAGGAACTTTACAGGCTGGATCAGACCCCTTTGGTCAGATTCAGCTTGCATGCCATAGGTTGCTGACCCCTGCTCTGTTGCTTTTTACTTGATTATTTTATTTGATACCTATGGTTTACTGCAGCATCTTACATACTGTGTCCTGTATTAAGATTAATACAGTCTCAAGTATAAGACTTCACAGCATGCTGTTAAATCTGTCCTATGAAAGGTAGAGAATGACATAGGGAAGTTCAATTTATTGAATTTTAAATTTGAGCGGATCTACTATAATGTGTTTTCTACATCAACACTTACATTTCAAAAATTTCAAATGAAATCTTAACTCTTCTTTCAGGTGGAAGCTGAGAGACGGGCACATGAACAGGAGGAGAACAAAGCAAGTGAGGAGTACATTCAGAAGCTATTAGCGGAAGAGGAGGCTGAACATAGATTAGCAGAAGAAAGGCGAAAAGAGATGGAGGAGCAGCTAAAACGAGATGAACAGCTGGCATGGGAGCTGAATAACAGCCTGGTAAGTTTAGATCTTTTGAAGCATATGCAAGAATGTTTGGCTGGAATGTTAAGACATTTTTGAATTTCATTAGTGAGCTGGTATTAGATACGTGGTGCTTAAATACTGCATTGATCAGTAAGTACTACATTTTAAACAAAGGGGGGAAATACCCTGATTTTTTTACACGTGTTTAGCATACACTTGGAAGTCATATCAGTAGTTTGGTTAATGTTTTTTTTCAGTATTCCCTCATGGCAACACCCTTCTCTGCTCTTGTAAGCTCCTCTCTTCTTTCTTTCTAAAATAAAATCAGTTTTATTTTGGAAGAATATAATTTCTGTTACCTGTGCTTGGGAAGGAGTGAAAAGGGTAATGTTAATATTTTGAAAAAAAACTGCTCTTACAAGAATTCTAACCACTGCTATCTGTAGATGTGGGATATATATTTGGTACCATTTTCCATCTGGTTGTAGTACTTGCCAAAACTGCTATTTAGATAACACCTCTTGTCTTCTAATACTACTGCCTGCAGATAAATGTAACACATGATAAATGTAATGTGTAATCTTCTAAACAACTATACATCTTGTTAGCACTACAGAATTTGTATTCTGAAGCATGCTTATTTTCAGTTTTGTATAACCTCTGTATTTTTACTGTCGTTGAAGAACAAGCACATAGAGGAGCCTACGATTCGCACTTCTTCGCTTGCAAACAGTCTTTCATCTGGCCCCTCCCCAGTTAATTCATGCAAGACAAAGAACAAATCATGCAACTCTGGAGACATTCAGAAGTAAGGTTTCTGACTAATATTTGTTGGTAAACTTCTATAATGCAACCTGTGGAAGAAGGAATATGTTTTCTGGTTTAGAAAGTGCTTCCATGTGTAGCTGAACTTTTACATGTATCTCTATAAATTAGCTTAATAGGACCCTAGTTATGTCTCTCAAATGATTTCCATATTAAATAGAATCTGAATATAGTATTCTTTTTTTCATCTAGAAGGCAGGGTATATATCCACTTTTATAGACTAACTAAATAAAATATCTAAGGATAGAGGCAGAGCATAAGCTTTCATGAACCTAAGTTCACTTCACCTTTTGCTGTGAAAGGAAGTGCAGAAAGCAGAGTTAAAAGGAGAGAGAAATGAGAATACAAAAGGGATTGTGAAGAGAGCTAGGGATAGGGATAGGAGGGAGGAGACAGTGCTAGGAGACAAAAGCAAAGAGCAGTAAACTCATGGGAACAAAAGGGGTCACAAGCCGATTTTGGTAATGAGATAAGAATCCATAGTCCCTGTTTATACCATATTTAATAGAACCCAGTTTGTGGATCATTTCTTGTTTTTCAGTTTCTCATTCAAAGTTTTTTTTTTTTTGCTGGAGAACAGCAATCCTGAGGTCAGTAATGGAGTGTCCAAGGAGGCTTAAGTGTTCTGCCACAGGCTTTTCATTTATTCCTACGCAGAGATCTGTCCCACGTAGACAGCTGATAGATGTTGTAAGCTGGTGATGATGCATATGACACTGGTTGAGTGCAAGTGAGTGCACCTTGGATGTTGTAGTCCTTGTTGTTAGGTCCAGTGATGGTGTGGTCTGTGTTGATGTGGAGATACAGTAGACATTTGGGTTCATTGCAAGGCCTGGTGCCTCAGTGAGGATGGGAGTTTATTAGTCTGTTGTTTGAGAGATGCCGTTTGAGGTTGGGGGATGTAACAGAGACAGCAGCTCCTGTTACTTTAACAAGAAAGTGCAGCAGGCCACTTACTGTGTAGGCAGGCAGCTGAGCCAAAGTTAGCTGCACTGCACTAAGCTCGATCTGTGGGACAGATTTTCTGGCAGCCTGAGAATAAAGGCTGCAAGCAGCTGGGTTATGCTGCAACAGGGAGGAGCTGGCTGGCCAGCAGGTACAAGGGAAAACCTCAGTGCTTGACTAGAGTCACCTGGCTGGAAAGAGCAGTGCTTCAGGGTATTTAAGCCCAGTGCCTGAAGCAAGGCAGGTAATCTAGCCCTGCATGTTGCAGGGAGCAGAGCTTCTGGAAGGAAGGAGCTGCAGGAGACAGTTTAGCAAGCACCCAAACCAACCTTGAGATCTGGGAGGTGAGAGATCAAAGGGAGGGAGGACTTGCAGAATGCCATTGACCCAAAGTGAAGGGAGACCTTTAGTTTGGAAGCAGTTGCTTGTATTTGTGCTGTGGTTAGTTTTAACCCTGGTGAACTGGAAGTAGCTGTCAGGGGAGGTGTGGAAACAACAGGGCAGGGTGTCAGAGCATCCTGCTTGACTTCCCACAAGAGAGGTTAGTGCCACTGGCACAAGAGCCCATGGGCCTGCTGTGGTGGTGCAAGGTATTGATTAAGCATTGCTACAAAGTTCAAGGCCTTGGGTTCTAGTGTTGGGTTGGGAAGAACCTAGGAGAAGCCCAGAGTTTGTGGCCACCAGACTGAGAGCCAGAGACTGAGTGGAGAGGCAAAGAAAAGGGGAGGCTGGCAAGGAGGCAGCCCAAATACAAAATCCCTGACACCAAGAGCCCTGCAAGGCAGTGAGATCCTGCCTTAGGAGTCCTCCCATCTTCTTCATTGAGCAGGGGTAAGATGCCTCCCAATTTAATTTTTCTTTCAACAAGGCACATCAGGAGAGTGGGAAGGTATTCAAGTCGACAGTAGCAGCAGGATTGGCTGTAACATGGTGGAAGGGCCCTCCTTTTCCTAGATCTGTAAGCCAGAACAGGTTTGTCCCCAAAGGCTATCTTGAGATAGTTAGTTATTCTTTTCCAGGAGGAGTTGGAGATCATTAATGATGCATCTTAGGTGTTTAAGCAGGGGGCTGTAAGTGACAGTCAGAGGGGTTCTGTTGAACTTGTCCCAGGGTTGGTATTGTAGCAGGTCAGAGTGAGGTCTGAGTCTGGCTTTGTTGATCTGAATGACTACAGTTTTGGGAGTGTTTTTTAATTGTAAGAATCCCTGCTCTAGATTGTATGAATCCTTTTCATCTGACTTTAATAAAGATTCTGTAGTTGGAGCTAAGTAATTTTGTTGCTGCACAGCCAAGAGCAGAATTAGTCTTTAAGTCATAGAATAATCTGAAACAGACACCAACACTAATCTTGCCTTCTTTGTTTGTCACAGTTAACCCAGAGGTCTGGAGTAACGGGTAGGGTGGGTAGGCTAAATGGGTAGTAATGGGCAGGCTCAATTTTTTCTTAAAGTTTTAACATTTGGGTTTTTTTTCCCTTTCAGATATCTGTCTCCAAAACCTTGCAGTGCCTTGGTATCAACATCGCTCTCTACAGCAAAAGAGCGAGAAAGGAATGGCTCCTTTTCTATGGTAACATGTACCTCCATATGAAGTTCTCTGTTTTACAATTTATTAATAGTTGCAAATTGTATTTTTTTTCCTTTGCAGTATAGCTTGGAAATGCAGAATTGTCATAAGAAAAGCAAATTGCTGTTTACATTGTCAGAGGCCTGTGTTTGGTCCCTGATATAATTCTATCCATGGGCGCACAAAATTTTGTCATTTTATGAAAAGCTGTAAAATCAAACTATGGATTCCAGTTTTCTGTTTTCAATTTTGTTTGTGGCCAAAAAAAAAAAAGTCACCATTAGCTCTTCCTGTTTGAGTTCTACTTTTGTAAGAAAAAGAATCATAACTGCAAACTCAACCTACTGCTGGGAAGGCTGTATTGGTTGTTTTGTTTGAGTTTTGTCTGGTCTTTTTTCCAGGAAAGCAGTAGCACTGAAGACAAAAGATTTATATTGCAAGAAGATGAGAGAGAGGAAATGCCATCTTTATCTCCACAAACCTTCCTCACCAACTTGCAAAATACTGAAGTTAAGGATTCATTTTTAGAATCATGTCTAACTTACTTAAGTGTCCATACTCCAGTAAGGTCTTATCCTGTCAAGAGGGAAGGTATGGCAGATCCACAATATCAGGTAGATGAAATTGCAAATGCAGAATGGGAAGAACCTGAGACTGGACTTCCTAACTCCACAAGAGATGTGGCTAGAAGTGCCTCTGAAAATGATGATTTTACATGTAAAGAAAGCATAAACTTGGGGAAAACTGCAGAAAATAGCACTTCTGTTCAGGAAGCAGCAGATTCTGTTTTTGCCAGCCCCAGTGCAATACAGATCTTGATGAAAGTTTCTGGAAACAATTCAGGTGAGGGAAAAATATCAAATGGGTTACAGAACACTAACGAGACTCCCAAAAGAAAATATTTGGACTCTCCGATAGAAGCAGCCATTGATTCATGTTTGCTGGATAAGAGGAGGAAAACTTTTCCAGAAACATTTGAAGACCAAAAAGAACTGGTAAATGATCTCCATCTGCAAATACATATGGATTTGGAGCAAAAACTTTTGGAGAGACATAAGCAAGAGGAGCAGGATAGACTTCTGGCTCTGGAGCTTCAGAGGCAGATTGACAAAGAGGAAAGGACACTAAACAGACAGAAGGGGTCTCCAGATGAGTACCTTTTGCGTACTAAATTGCCTCCATCTAAGAAGGAATCTCCCACTGGCAGAGGAAGTTGTAAGATGAGAAAGGACTCAAAATCTCTAAAAAATCAGACTGAAATGGCTTGTCGAACCCTGCGAAGAGCTTCCCACAATGAGAACTGGCAGTCCCCCACCAAGCTCCAACTGAAATCACCCAGTGTCAGAGGAGGAAAGGTGCTGAACTGTGTTGTCAACAGTTGTGATTCTCAGGATATCCAGTCACGACCCAAGACTAAGCAAAATACAATTCTTCAGATGTTTAAGAGGTCTGTTTCAGAGTAACAGCTCAGTAGAACTGCAAAGCCACATTTGGCTGGAGGGCAATTAAAGCTGCTTTAATACCTTTCTCTGTATTAGGCAAAGCTTCATGTGAGCAGCTGATCTTAAAATGATTGTATTAAGAGGAGAATCAATCTGGAACACAAGTGTATGCACAACTATACTTTGCTGTTGAGCTGAGGAGCCTCTGATGCCTTCCTTTTTTCTATCAGTTTTAATCTCTTCTTTATCAATGTTGCATCTCTCTTCTTCTGTCCTTAGTAATACTCTAAGTGTTAGAAGATGTTGGTGTTTAACATCAGAACAACTGATGCCCTCTATGGTATATGGTTGCTTCACATTGATACAAGGAATTAAAGCATGTCCTTATTACAAAAGGCTTCAATTCAAGATGAATCTGACCAAAGGGCTACTCTGTATCTTCAGTTATTTGCCCACTACAGGGAATAAGCAGCACAGCCACTCTTCATTAGGTCAAAAGGCTGGCCTGGAACTTTACCATGCATTGCTGCTGGTTGGCAAGGATGTGACAAGTAGCTAGCTTTGTTAGGAATACTGTCCTCAGTGGCATCACTTACAGGTTCCCTGATGCGTTTGTAGCTACTGTTAGGGCTATCCGTATTAGCACTGGGTGAACAAGCAACTGAATGCACCATTTGTTTTAATAAAAAAACCTATTTTTTAGAGAAAATAGAAAAATAAAGGCCCTTTAGCTCTTACAATATTTAAAAACAAGGGTCTTCTATAGATGTGTCATTAGTATTAACAGTTGAAACTGGATTTATAAATGGGAGCCAGTTATCACAGTCTTTCACTGGAGCCATTAAAAGAAGATTTTGGTTTTGTACTGTTTTCTTCCAACAGTTTTATATATATAGATTCCAACAGAACCAGGGTTTCAAACTCGGTTACCACACCCATCCAGATCTGGACCACAGGGTTTCTTGTAGGCTGCATCCAGATCCGCCTGCAATTGTAGGGCAGGCTGTGTCTGGGTTAACTGTGGGTGCTTGAGCCACTATGTTAGCTCAAGGAGATACAGGGATTAAAGCAGCCATGTTCGCCTCATTCCCAAAACACATCCCCAACGGGGCTCTGTTCCCCAGAATTTGCTGGCAGGGGTACAGAATTTTGCCACTGCATAGGTGTCCCCTCTGCTTTTTCATCAAATTAGTTGCACTGTTATAGACTAGAAAAATGCTGAGAGGTGAGCTTATGACAGGCTACAGATATTAGTTAAGATTAAGGTTTTCTTGTTTATCTGTATTCCTTTGCCCTTATTATGAAACTGAAACTGACATTTACATTATGAAAAAACAAAAATCAACTATTGTTTTGTTTTGAATTAACATTTTTTACAAAAAAAAATAGCCTATAATACTGAAGGATTTCTGTAGGTATTCACTAAATATATTAATCAGTATTATAAATAGATTTAAGTTTGGTTCTTATATTTTTCTGAACTACACAGTTTGGGATTACTTATAACAAAAGCTTTCAGAACTAAAACTAAAAATGATGTTTTGAATCTAAGTTTAGTATTGGCCTTTCGGCTCAGTTCAAGTTTAATAAATTAAACCTATTCTTAACATCAGTTTTCAAGATTAAAGCCCAAGACATTCCAGAGTCACAGTAAATCTGTTTCTCCTGACTTAAAATAGCTTTGAACACTACAGACCTTGTACCCTGAATTGATTTTGTCATCTTTTTAATAAGGAAGACTTAACAAGATTACACTTTACTATAAACAACATTTTGAAGTAGTCTGGGGGAAACGTGAACAGTTGAGACAAGCCACGAGTCTGAGTGATTTTTGCCTTCGGGTATTTATGACAACAGTGTTTGGGGAGCTTTATGTACATAGATGGCAACTTCCCTGAAGACCATTTCAAATTAACAAATGCAGTAAGGTGAGATGATGCAACATAAAGAAATGCTCTTGGCTTTGCCCCTCTTATTGCTGCCTCGCCCATTGTGCAAAAGCTTTCACTTGTTATATAATTTAAAAAAAAATAAAGTACCTCACTTATTTTATTCTTTTTAATGCTTACATTTATTCACTCAAACTCATAAATGATTTCCTTCATTTAAAGGGCTTCCTAAAAACAAAATGTTGACTAGATTGTTAGTGTTGGGTCTCAGCATTTTCTGCTATAAAAACTCTGTAATTTCTCTAGCTGTGAGAAGTTTTTGTTTGTGTTTGCGGGGGTTGTAGAATTAGTCGCTACAGACATTGTTAGACTAGCTCCCTGGGCCTCAGTGCTTTCTAGAATATTCTGTTGCATTTCCTTCTGGCTTTGCTCAGAAAAGGGGTTGCTGATCTCAGTGTTGCCAGCATTTGTGGTTATGCAAGTCTCATTATTTGGTAGCTTTCTTAAAGCTACACATTTTGTGGGGTCATGTGATTTAAAATCCCAGCTTGCCCGCTTGCTTGCTTTTTCTTTTTTTTTAAAAAGCTACTATATATTAGGGTTGCAGAGGAACCATAAAATGCGATTCCTGCACACTAAACATGGACAAGACAAAAGGATCCCCAAATGCTATTTTCAAGTCAGTGCCATGGCTTAAGGATGCTTGACTTCTGTTTTAAAAATTCTTTGGTCACATAGCTAAGAAACGTGTTGCTCAGATAAAGCTGGTGTTTAAGAAATTGTGACCTTGAGATTCTTGTTGTGTCATCCCACAAAGGGTATTTTTGATTTCACAAGCTAATTGATGGATAAGCCTTAGTGAATGATACCTTTAAGGCTACAGGTTCATTTTTCTTTGCATACTTTCAGTGCGCATTGGAACACTGACGGTGATACTTCATCTAACAACTTATTTAAAGAAAAACTCCAAAATATATTTTTAAATGAGTATCTAGACCAGTGATTCTCAGCTGGGGTGATGGGAAGCCCTGGGGTGCTCCCAGATCCTTTGAAGGGTGCCAGGAAGTGCAAGGAGATAAGCAGATAAGCTGGGCTCAGGCTTGTCTCTGCCTAGACAATCCTGCACCCTTACTGCCCAGCCCCTGTGTAAAGTGGTAGATATTGTAATATATAAATTCATTTTTGAAATTGGGTGCCACTCCATTCACAAAAGTTGTTGAGAGGTGACTCAAGTCCAAAAAGGTTGAGAACCACTGGCCTAGACCTAGGTTTCCCAGGCAGTTTTTTTGAGCATTTAAAAAGTGCTCTGCCTATTACAATTAATAACAAATGGATGTTTGTAGGCCTAGTTTCATGCCTTATCTCGTATGTAAATTTGAAGCCAACTTGTTGCCTGTAGCATCTAGTTAATCAATTAAAGGCATTTCAGAAGTTATCCTCAAAAGATGGTATTTACTTGATTGTCATCTATACAGAAGGAAATGGTTATGTCAATGTCACTCAGATATGAAAATAAAACTACTAAAAACTTTTACTTTATTCTAAAAATGCAATAGATTCATGTACAGACTATTTACTGTGAAGAGCATACATGCTAAATTTAGCCTGATGCTACAGTTGGATATGTCAGAACCGATTTCCACTAATGCTAAGGTATTTGTTCTCAATGCTGTTTGTGGTTGGTTGATGGCACCTTAAGAAACCAATCATTTCTACCTCTCCTGCCCACAGTCTGCTTCCAAATTGTATTAAAACGCATCTAAAAATTAAGTAAACTTTTCTTAAGCATTAATTTTCCATTAAAATAATTACTGGACTTGGTACAGGGATCTTATAGGACTGGAAATGGAAGATGTGGTTGTTGAAACCACTCCCAAATTTTCCTCACTCCCAGCTGTCTAGCCCACTTTCTTCACACAAAATGTATTTTGCTAAAGTAATGATGTGTGTAAGCTGAATCAGAGGGCTACATACAAAACCTGAGTCTGGGTACAGTTATGATACAGGTCTTTGCCTGAAGGCTTTAGCTTTGGGGTACCTCCATGTTGGGTATTAAGGTAAAGTCACTCTTGGTATCTGCTTAGGGCCCCCACTTATGGAGTCAAGGGGTTACATCAGCCTTTCATAGAGAAAATGTGCTGAGACTTCCTGCTGGTTTAAAAAAACAGCAAGAAATCTTTGGACTAAAGCTTATGCATCCCTTATGCAGTACCAGCTCCTGAAGTGTGTATCTGCCCTGGAGCTGTCATACACAGTGTAAGCTACCCTAAGTGTGGCTGGTAGGATATCTGCTGGAAGCTACAGGTAGCTTAAGAAGAGAGCAAACTACTTCATTTATTTCCATGGGATGATGAGTGAAACCTTCAGTTGTGGAGTCCTCTACTCCCTCAGTAGTGTGCTTTAGGAAGAGGTAGGGGGCATCCTGACTAATGCCTACCTGCTGGGCACCAGCTGTAGAAAGCGGTTTAACCACAGACGGCCAGCTACAGATGGCCACGAGGAGGAGGAGCCCCGCCCCACTCGGCTGTGTTCTCACTGCCACATCTCATTTTGTTGTTAAAGCACCAGCTCCTGGAGTTCTGTGCCTCAGGGAGACTGGTTGAATGTTTCAGCCCTGCTCTAACCTGTGACCCGAGCGGCTCCTGGAGGCAACGTTTTTAAAACTCCAGGGCTATTATTATATTATTGTTATTATTTAACTGAGGAGGGTGTGGTTAATAATAATCAAAACAATGTTGTAATAATAAAAATAATCGCTACTAACAATGGTGATTATTGTTAATAATAATAATTATTATTATTATTATAATGGACAGTGATAATCCTGATAATGGCATGAATCACACACTATGTTCGGGAGGGGCCGCGTCTCGGCGGAAGCGGAGAGATGGCCGGGCCCTCCCGCGCAGGCGCCCTTTGCCCTCCGCTGTGTCCGCTGCAGCTACTCTAAATAAAGCTTGACATTGAAAGTGAAAGCACCGCCCCCGGCGGCCAGTAGGGGAAGGCGGCGGCGGCTGGGGCTCTGCGCCTGCGCAGTGCGGCCGGGCAGGTGGCGTGCGTGTTGTTGTTCGGCGGCGGCGGCGGCGGCAAGATGGCGGCGCACGGGGGCTCCGCGGCCTCCTCGGCGCTGAAGGGGTTAATTCAGCAGTTCACCGCCATCACGGGTGAGGCACGCGGCAACCACCATCGGACGCGGGGCCGGGGCCGGGGCCGGGGCCCGGGGGCTGGGCTACTGCTCCTGGGGTGCCCCGACCCCGGCTGCTGTCAGTGTCAGTCGGCGTCGAGCCGAGGCTGGGCCCGACTGGGGCTGGCAACCGAGCCCCTTTCTGTCGTGGCCGCGGTCGTCCGGGACGGGGTCCCTCCCTGGCCCGGGGAGGTGAAGCAGGCCCCGCTGCCCAGCGCGCGGCCTTCTCCAGTGGGCCTTGCTTCACCGCCCCCATGGTGGGGTCAGAGGTGGGACAGACGCGGCCTGGCGTGGTGGTGGCCCCTCCCGGGAGCCTTAGGGTCCTTTGCAGGGCACCAGGTGGGTTCATACTGCTGGGTGGGATGAACACCAGAGGTTTCCAGTCCTGAGGGTTGAAACCTTTCTGCTTGCTGCTGCTGCAGGCTCCTCTGTGGAGGAGAACGACTTGTAGGTTTCTGTGGTCAGAAAGCAAGTGAAAAGGAAGAGCTGGTACTTTCCCAGGGCTGCTTTGTATCCCTCTGGGGCTGTCTCCCGCCTAAAAAGGTAGAAAGCCACGCTGCTTCTGAGACCTGACAGCACCTTGCACTTGACAGCTCGTTTGACTTCATCCAAAGAAGTTGCCTTCTGAAATCTTTTTGTCTAGACCAGTGGTTTTCAACCTTTTTTCCTTTGTGGACCCCTAAAATATTTTGAATGGAAGTGCAGACCTCTTTGAATTATAAATGTGGGTATTCACATACTTTTGGTTGATCATAGTCCTCTTTCACAGATCCTGTAAACATAGTCTGTGGCCCCCCAGGGGTCTGTGGACCACAGGTAGAAAACCACTGCTCTAGGCTGAGAGAGAGACAGAACACCAGCTTTCATGAACTTGAATTTGCTTTGTCACAGTAGCTGATGAAATGGACTTAAATTCATAAAAGTTTGTCGTCTGTATATCTTAGTCCCTTCCAGTGACTCTCAGCCAGGATGCCAGGCCATGCAGGACTGTCACAAGAGCCTTTAAAGGGTGACATGAGGTATGAGAAGATAAGCAGATAAGCTCAAGTTCAGAGCCCTCTCTGGCTCTTCCTCTTCCTCCATGCCTGGCCCTCTGGAAGGAGAGTAAGCACTGCAATAAAACAGGGTGCTACTCAGTTCTCAACAGTTGTGGAGGGGTGCTTTGAGTCTAAAAAGGTTGAAAACCACTGGTCTATAAAGTGCATATCTACCCTGTTTTCTGCCTGACTTCAGATTAACATGGCTAACTTCCTCTCTCAAAAGATAATCACTCTGCAAAAAATCCTTGCTCCTCTCATTTTCTGAAGATACTTTTATCATCAAAATGTGTTCTCCCATTTTCAACATGGCTACATTTATTTTTTTGAAAAATTCCAAGTGTGGCAGCTAAAACATGTTGGCAAGTTGACCAAGTTTTGGGGTTGAAAATGTCTTGCTGCTGCTGTTAGAAATTGCATCTAAGGCTGCTAGAAAGTTTAGTCTTTATTCAGGTTAACCACAATGAACAAAAGGCAGTTCTTTTTCACACTGTGTGTAATTAAAGTGTGGAACTCACTGCCAGTAGGTGTTATGGATGCTGACAGCTTAGCCAGGTTCAAAAATTGGGACTGGATGAATCCTTGTAGGAAAGAGACATCAGTAGCTATTGTGCATGGGATTTAAGGATACAACTTCTGAAGGAGAACTCATCAGACTTGCATTGTTGGAGGCAGCAAGTGAGAGAGGAACAATGGAAAAAAATCCTGGTTATCCTCAGTTTACTCTCACTTTCAGCATTCATTCCCTGCTACTGTAGACTGGGCAAGATGGACGTTTGGTCTAACCCCATAAATGTCAAGTCTTAATGTTCTTACGTTAACTTTGAGAGCTTGACTTAGGTTGTATGTGTTTAACAGAACTAGTAACTTAATTGTGTGTACTTCAGGGGAATTTCTAGTAACTTGGTTCTTAAATAAGTTACTTTGAAACTTCTCCAAAA